ATGTAACAGGGCTCAAGGCATCCTTTAGGGTTAAATCGTTTGACTGTTCAGCTCACAAAAGTGCCAGATGTGTAACTTCTCTTTACAATAGAGTGATTTTTAGGTAAGTGTCGAAAGTAAGTCAGGATTGCAATGGGTTTGGCTCACTGCACTCTGTGATTGGTAGGTAAATTCACGCCCTCTTCTCAACCGGTCAACCGCGCGCTTCAAGCAGTGTGGTTATTTCTCATTTAAGTTCTCATTGGCTCCTTGAAACATTTATTGGCTCTTTGAGACTTTCACTTCTGCTCTCAATCTAATCAGCTAGAGGGTTTTTTCCTATGTAGAAAAAAGACTCAACGAGTCAGATGATGTGAGATGAAGGACTTATAGGTTTCTGTTGATAGAGCCTCCTGGAATTGCGTGTGGTCGTGGCGAGCAAATGATAGGCAAGGAAATGGACCTATCTGAAGTACTTGTTTTGAAATTTAAGCGGCAGTTCTCTTTTGTTAGTTTTGATTTCAACATCGCGGAGGTCATTTGTTTTCTTATTTCAAAAAATACCATAGCTTTGACATCATCTCTTCCGCTGTACAGCCCATTTCTTCCCTTTTCCTTCTCAGTAGAAACTGCACGAAACTTCATATGTTGGTTAAATACACCTGAAAAACTTTGAAGATTGTCTTTGATTTAATATCTTCTCTAGCGGTTTGAGAACCGTTATTCAGTGATGCTGATGCATGAATGAGTATTGTTGACGTCCACTGTTAGAATATTTAGCAGAATAGCATAGGGGTTGATGCCCTTGGAAATGGATATAAAAATCACCAGTTCTTGATATGTTATTTTATCTAGATTGTATTACACAACACACTGTCCTGCCTTTTGCCAGCTTTGCTCTTAACACTCCAGCAAAGCGAAGACGAGAGGCAAGTCCAAGCTACTAAAGGTGATTGTTTGTCAAAGTAACTCTAGAGACCGAACGTGCACGGAATTCTGTCAGCTCGCTGCTACAACAATCCTGACCGAATAGCGCATTGCTAGACCTGGCTGAATGATGTTCTCCTGCAACACTTGCCAAGGATATCAGATGGTATTCTGAGATCATTACTATGCAAAGCATTTCAATGGCAATTTGTATTAAACTTCTTGCCAAAGCTGGGAAATGTAGATTTTGGCCGGCACTTGCAGTCGTAGGGAAATTCATGATAACTTCATCAACGGTGAAAAACATTTTGTATTTTCTACATTTACACGTCACTCAGAGTTTCGCTTTGTGTATAACCCTATATAACGTTTTGTACAATGTCAATTTAAAGCTCAAGTGTCGTATGAATTACAAGAGAATTCGGCGTTTGTCGGAGCATACAAAATTTGTCGTCTCAAACACGACAATATGATGGAACTTGGTGCCGAAGGAGAATCAGTGAGGATTTTAGCATGCACTTACTCCGAGGTGCATTTTACTAGATAACTTCAGTCATCAACTGTGGCAGAGATACTTGCACTGATGACGGACTTTTGCAATGGAGGGAATTTTATACGTTTTATACTACGTTGCATTAAATTCAATGAAGTGTGTGTCATAAGGAATCCAAGCAAATCCGCATTATCGAAAATGTTCGAGAGCTGTCTTCGAAGGAGGGACTTCACAATTTTATAATGTCTTATTAACTTGTTGTAAACTATCTCAGCTTCCAGTAAGTTACAGAGCAGCTAGGGAAAAAGGGGATTTATGTATGAATCAGATGTAAAAATTTTGCTAATTCAAATAGATTCCAGTATGTTGATTAAAGAGAGAACATAAGTTGTATGAATTTTTTAATGTCTTTTGAATGTCTTCGTAAATAATAACTGTTTTCTGAACGTCATAAAAAGGGTGCCATCTTCCTTCTCCTTCTCCTCGTTGAATGCGAGAAGCTTAAAATTCGACCCCTCCTCATAACTAAAGCCAGCTGGCCCGCTATTAAAACAGGAAAAATTCAATAGTAGCTTACGAACATCATTTTCGAAGCAATATTCAATGTCTTTTGGCCACTGCGGAATTTACATAAGAAAGAGGGGAAAGAAGGGAAGCTGCTTTTTTTATTCTTTTTTTTTTTACTTTTGGTTTATTGATTTATTTAGTTTTTACAAACGGAGTATTCAGTTTGGTATTTGTTATCATGAAATTTTCCATCTGACCCCAATACCTCAGTACTTGACTGTTTGAATTCTTGGCAGCAAAGAAAAATTGATACTTCACAATACCATACCACTGAGAGGTACAGTTTGTTAGTGACCTCTGATGCACACTCCCCTGCTGTATAACAGAGGGGCTGATGATTGATGAGTTTTTGCTGTAAACATTCTCTGTTGTTATGACTTGACATCCTTCTTAAACCACGTATGACCGTGAGAAAAAAAACTCTGCGGACCTGTTTTCCTGGTCTGCACAGTATAACCCGCTTGTGAACGGAATCGAACGTTATGGACTTCAGGCGTGGGCAGAAAGCCAGGAATCCAGTCCAATCCACTGAGAAATCATTAGACAACTTCGAAGTATATAAGCGCATTTAAAGACGATTTAATTCAATTCTACCAGACCTAAGCTTTTTGTTTATAAATAAAACACAAAGATAACTTTTTATAGAAAAAGAAACAAAAGCTACATTTTATCAGTCGTGCCAATGATTTTCCTGTCCCTCGACGTACTTGAAAAAGTGTGAAAAGAAAACATTTGGATTTGTCTAGTTGTGTGGTCGCTAGATCCATTCTTGTCTGTTCTTTTGCTCTGCAGGAGAAACGTTTGAAGAATGCAGATGTTCTGAAGAGTGTCGCAATTGATTTTATAACATTCTTGACCTTCACATGAGAAAAAGCTGCCTGTTTGTTTTTCCAAAATATTTTAGATGACGCTGACCTGTTGTAGCTCGTTCTATAGTGTTTGTTTTTATTGCTGGTTAGTTTCTCGTCATACTTACCTATTTTTAGGCGTAACAAATGAAACTTTTTTTTTAACAGTCACGCTAACTGTATAATACCTTGAAAAATTAGTTTACGGGGAACTGAATGACGTTATCCTGTAAGCCTGGGAGGGTCCGGAAAGACCAAAAAAATCGCTAACATGCTGTGCAACTTAAGACTTTTCTTTTCTAAAACATGTGTAGCAGCTGTTATCAATCAAAGCCAGACGTTGTAATGAAATCGTGGTAGTCGAGTGGGTATTCCTTTCCTCCTGTAGAGTGTCTTTTAAATTTTTGAAGTACGTCAATTTGAAATTGTTACTTGTTTACCATTAAATCGTTCTTTTTTTTTTGGTTCTTGCGGTTCACAAAGGTTTTAAAAATTGGAACCTTTGCAATCATCTGAAGTAACCTGGCCAAGATTGAGAGACAAATAATGACGTTTGCTAAATAGTACTTTAATAGGATCCCACGCCGGATACACAGACAGGAATAACGATTTTGTCGCTAAATGTTTGATTTTGTTTGGGAGTTAAGCGGAAACCTTCCTTTCTTTATCGTGGGTTTCCTTGCTGGTTTAATCGCTCTGAAGCAGGCATGTAGTTGTCGAACATGTGGGTCAGAAACTGCTAGTGGATGTTTTTCTACTCACGTGTCGTCAAAGATTTAGTCCAAAATTTTCAATGAGTGTGGTCGGTTTTTTCTCCTTGGGAGAAAATGAGGACGCGATAAACAACATACGTGAAGTCATTTGCAACTTTTTCTCTGATCTACAGGTTTTGCCTGAAGCAATTTTAACTTTTATCCATTGCCAATGGTCTGAAATGGAAAACGATGAAACAGATATGTATCTAATTAATTGCTGACAATCAGTTCAGGGGTCAGAACTTTTTCAATAGTTTACTAGGAATGCGCAATGGCAATATTGTGCTCCCGATATGCAAACCTCGATTGAAATATATTTACTCACAGCAACCTTAAATTTATTTTAGGGAATCGCCTTTAGCTCGCAACTTTCCAACCTCCTTTCGAGGAAGTTTCTCTGAATGTGGTTTCTTAACATTTACTGTCAAAAGACGATAACTGCTGTTGAAATTACACACTCAGTCATACCGGCTGAAATCAAAACAGAACGTAAGGAAGACAGGGATTCTTTCCACGGCTGTTTCTAATTGGCGAAGAAAGGCTGGTCAGATGCGGTGGAGATGGAGTAAAAAATTCCGCAGAAATTTTCTAAAATCAGTTAGTCTCTCATGTGCAAAATCGATTATGGTAATTGTTCTAATAACGCAGGGTTGTTACAGTGAATTAAAAATCCATTATAAAGGCGTGCCAGCGAAGTTTTAAAAAACATCACGGACTCATCGCGTGTGGGTTTATAAAGAGCCTAAGAAATTGCATTTGTTTGGATCTTGTTAAGCAACAGCCAGGATTAGTTTCTGACAGATGGGTTTGATATCTTGCATATGCACTGTTTTATGCGGCTTTGGTTTGTTTCATTTACAAACATGCTCCCTTTGAATGCCCTTAAATAAACGTTTTGGAGGAAATCATTTCACCGTATGTTGTCGCCTTGAGCTACATGTAACGAAACTAGGTTTAACTAGGGCAATAAGTCTTTAATCCCGTAGCTATGTTACAAACTGAAAAACATTTTAACTACTTAATTTTGTTTTTACATTCCTTCGGTTGGTTTTATAATATAAAAATAGGCTTTGTGGGCTTACAAGTCATGTGGATTACGTTTTGTTTGAACAACTGACAGAAATCACGTGAAAAACAAAACAAATTGTCATTTGCAAGTAAAAAGGCTCGCCGCTGTTTAAGCTGCAAATTTAAATTTCTCCCCAACAACTGCCAAAACTCTCCCAATAAGGTTCTGTACATCTCACGCCTAACTAAATATATTTTCCGTACAACTCTAAACGTACAATGAATGTTCTGGTCATTTTCTAACTGTCAGATTCTGGAATCAAATTTAGGGACATTTCGAAAACTTTCGGAAGCGATTCAAGAGTCTCTCGCTGTTCAAATAAGCATCCCAGAAAGATCTATTGCAATTTGCCGTTCGCTCGCTCAATTTTCGGGTTGAGACTGAGGAGTTCTTGTAATCTTTACATCTTCTTCACTTTCCTGCTAAAACAATAAACAAGAGATAAGTCAGTTATCTCTGGTGTGGAACAATGTGAACTTGGTTGAAGTGAAAGCAGACAGTTGCCATGTAAATCTGGTAAAAGTGGTATGTGCCCGAGTGTAACATCTGTTGAACATTATTTTGATCCTCTTCAATTTGTGTACGATTTTGACATTAACGAGGAGAGAGCGTGTCCCACTCGGCTGACCATATGGAGCTGGGTTTTATCATCGAAAACAGATTAGTTCGCATCTTACAAGTTCCTTCCTGTAGTGTGTGGAATTAGGACCAAACTGTCCCCGTTTCTGTTCGATGTTCAACAGATTTAGATCTTCTAAAAGTGCGTAATACTTCAAGATTATAATTTGTGGCTCATGTCAATTTTAGAAAACAGGAGCCCCGTCTGTAATGAAACACCTTACACATTAATCAAAAGCCAGAAGTTTCTTAAATTAAAGAAAACGAAATTTCCAGACTACCCGTCTTTGAGTCGCTGGAGACTCTACGGTTGGCCCACTGTTCACAGGTTTTATTCTGGTTCGTGAGTGTTTGTTCTGTAAAGGTGCCCCAGCTGTTTAATGTTAAGGATCTGAGAGATTTTGAGGGTGTCTCTGGGTTCGTGCTTGTCGAGACATTTTTCCCATTGAATTGTTTTAATTCCTCCGTCTTGTTGCACGAAACAGAAGGCAGTTTGGAACAATTTGTGTAGTTTCCGCAAGGAAATATGTAGCTTATCTAACACCCTCGTAACAATGTTACTCAAAGGCGAATACCATGCCGATAAAAACGTTATTACCCTCCTTGCACTGCTTTTTATCTGATATTTGAGTATATTAATACCCTTACAATTTCACGATCTTGAATATCGACTAAATATCTGGGTAAACGTGCCCCGTTCCGAAGGGTTGTGCGCCATAAACCGGTCTATAGCGCGTCGTGAATTTAATGAGTAGACACTCCGCCGCAGTGAAACACGGCCTGATTATGAAAAGTCCAACCTACCTCTTTCTCAGCGGTTGTAAGAAATTGTCTTAAGCGGAACTCGACTAGTCTTCTTATCGGCTGAATTCTTTACAAAGTTGTTTATTTGGAGATTCGGCAGTTCCAAAGCAGACTCGAGATCCTGAATGTAGTCAATAACGTGCTGTAGAATTTCGACTTTACTCATCCTTCTGTCAGCAGGGATGTGCGGTACCATGGCTCTGAGCCTCGCGTAGCAGTCGTCCATGTTGTAAATACAGCCCTGCTCGAGATGTGAAACACTGGTATCGCGCGCACGAGCCCTAGAAATACTTGAAGTCGTTGTCGTAGTTGAACGCAGGGAATCCTCCCCGGCGTGAAGACCAGACTTTGTGGATTGAGGCTTCATTCTAGCGTTTGGTGTGAAGCAACAACGAAGCAACGATCGAAAGAGCTCACAGATGTTCGTCGCTTGAAAGCTGTGAAGGTATTTGGCCGCGCGCGGAAGCAACTGTGTTTTGTCCAAGTGCTCTCGCTACGCGGGTTTTCTAACTCGCAGCTGTGCAAACTTGGTGACAAATTTAAACCAATCGCAGGCAGGCCTGACATGGACTGGAAAAATCAAAACACGGCTTGAAACATGTCAAGAAATCGAACGCGACAGCCAATCGCAAACAAGATCTCATAGGTAGTTGACTTCAAAAGTTTCGTGTTATGTCGTCACGAGCACCTTGTCTCTCTCATGAAAACATAATCACGTCGCACACAATATTGATCTTTCCTGATTTAAATTTCATAATTTGTTGCTATTTACAGATCCCTAGGTGTTTGATAGCCGATATGCGATGGATTACACCGTGCTTGACGAGCTGCGCCGACTAATTACATTTTCACTTTGTGATTGGTTATTTTGGACTGGTCCACTTTTCAGTCCTCGTCCTGCATCACGATTCAGTCACAGGGGCTGCATATTCAAATCTCATTTATTTCAACACTCCCCTACCTTGTCTCGTTTTTTTTTTTCTGTTTTTTTTGTTTTGTTTACCTAACCCATCGTGGACCATTAGCCACAAAACAGCTGAAATAACTCTATGGTGATGTGGACATGTGTGTATCTAAGGTCTGTGAAGGCCGCCGTGAAGTGTTTGACGCGTTTGGTTTAGCGCATCACTATGTGTCTTTTAATACAGCTTATTGGTTATTCACATCCTATTAAATGCCTGCTTTTAGAAACTCAAAATCGAGTTATTCCGGACACCCTTGTCTTAAATTTCATCACAGCTCTCCTTCACAGCATCTCGAGAACGCGAGCTTGAAATTTCCTTTCTTTTAAATTCAGGAAAAAAGTTGTTTCTTGGGAAAACTAACCGTTATTTCGGTGGAAATGTCTCACAAAACACGAGCGTCCAGTGCTTAATAACAATCGTATTCACCTAAAATTTTTAAACGCAATTTTTACTAGTGTCGAGACATCTGGTTTAGTTTTGTCTGAAAATTCTGCTATATCTGTGTCAGCCTTTTACTACACGTGTTTTTTTTTTTTAGTTCGTTCCCTTTGACAGATTAAGAAAACGGAAGTGCTTTTCCTTCCCAAGATTTGACGAGGAATATGGTTTACAGAGGTGCTCTTTCTTCGCCTGTTCTCAAAAACAAGCGAAGGAATTTACAGTGACTCAAGTGTACAATCGCTATGACAAAGAAATTGATTCTGATCGACGACGGGAGCATTCCTGGACGGAATTGAATCCAATCCTAGTCTACCGCACAAACAGATTTTCTTAATCTTGCTTCAAAGGCCTTTTTTGTTTAAATCAGACCACTATACAGCTTGACGAAAAGTGAATCTTATCTCAGTTACACTACGCTGAGGCACAATCTTGGGCATGTTTTTTTTTTCCTTTACAGGGAACTATAACTGTAGAAGACATAAAACATACGCTCAGCTGAGGGCAGCTGTCGTGTCTTTAAGCTGTTAAGAGTCACCCTGTAAGCTGTTTGTTTTTCCTATTTCCCGATGCGTGACTGGAGCCTCCGATGACAAAAGTCCTGCGTTTTAGCCAAGCTTCCTCGTGAGTCCTACTCGGAGGTTGACACGTAATACTGATCCAAAATTTCGCTTTAAAAACATTTCTGTCGTCTTTCTCTTCGATCAGAGCGTCTCGATACAAGCCAAGTTTTCTTCGCCTTATCTATCAGCATGATCAAGCTTGCCTAACACGCGTGTTACCGATTAGCTCTGACTGGTTTATTTAGATTACTGGGAATTTACGTCTGGGATGAAAATTTAGCAGCTTTTTCGGCTGTCGCCACGTTCACGCCTCCAGTGTCAGACACATTAGAGGTCAGGCGATGTGCTTCATTAATGGTTTATGGACAAAGGACCGCTTTTATAGAAACTTGGAGCCGAAACAAACTCCCGAGTGGTTTCTTGCAGTTTGTTTAGTTAGAGTCAGAGAACTAGTGGGGCAGTGAAATTTCCTGCACCTAAATGAGGTCTTGAACTTTTGACAGGACATAATTTATGAACGTGGTATGACAAAACTGCTCCGGAATGACGTGACACACGCAGCTCATTCTTAAAGCAAATACAACTCCTTTGGAGGAGGGAGAGAGTGCAATTCTCACTTAGGCACCTTACTCTCAAATTTAACTTTCCCCCGTCCCTTCCGGATCCCTCGCAGGCTGAAACTCCTTCGTAAATTGAATGCGTGAGAATACCGGTTTTATATTGTGAACAGACAAATAATTTGGGAAGGTTTTGTAAATAGTCACCAGATTGTTGCCCGTCAACAATTGCTGTAGTGAGGGAGTCCGAGTCGTTAAGCGGTGCTCGAGCATTTTATAGATAAGTAACGTTTTTGGTATAGGCTACAGCATTGAGAGATAATGCAGTATCAAGGAAAGGAAGGTACACTTGTAGTTTGTGTCCGTTTTGTCTTTAGTGATCAGATCAGACAACAATCAGACAGGAATCATAACTGCGTTCTTGAGCGGAAATTTGTCGAAAGACCCGCAAAACAAGATTTTGCGAAGACATCGCTACATAAGAATTTAAGACGGCCTACAAGTCGGCTGACTTTTTTCAATGCATCCATAGAAACCAGAATATCTCGTGACATCACTTTTATGTAATTTCACTTCATTTCACTTTGGCATGATTTTGGACGCGAAGGGATTTTTCCGCTTTGTTTGACAGTGAATTTTTGAAAAGATCGTTCAATAATTCTTCCCAATCTCTCAGCTGTTCTTAGTCATCAAGACGAGCAAATTTTATATACTTTCTTTTTGGAAATAAAATGTGTTAGTTTATATTTATTCTCTATTTTCCTATGTATTACAACCTTGAATTTAATTCTTCTTTGTAACTACTTCAAAAAAATGTTTACTGATGTCGCAAAACAGTTCGTATTAAAAGTCAATGCTTGCTTACAGCATAAATGTTGGCTACTTTGGTCAAAGCAAATTCTGATCTAATCAGCCTGCAACTTATTCTCTATTGTACAATTTGTGCTTTAACCTATTTTCGTACATGGTCTTTGAATCGTACTAATAATCTTGAATATTTCCTGCAACTAATTCATCACAATTTTTACTCATGTCACAGAACGTGCAATTGTGTGTCATTGTTTTCACCATAGATATGGATGGACCCTGTATGTAAAAGGTGCTACCTTTAGCTACCTTCTAGAAACACGTTAAAAAGGACTCCCAAACAGCACTATGATAGTAAATGACATACTAACAATACTTATCATAATCATAATTTTTGTTGAAATTTACTAAAAGTTTTGTCCCCCAGATTTCTGAGACCAGAGAATCAGGGCAACCATTGTTTTGTTTTTCAAAGGCACAGCTTTGCAAAATTAAATTTGAAATGACAACTTACAATTCAACACATTCAAAGGAAAATTAAATCTTAGGGCAGCAAGACATGGTCATGGATAGCTGGAAATATGGATAAAATATATTAGATGTCTGCTTACAGTTAATTGTTTAGTATTCCAAAAGTTAAATGGGAAACGATTCATGCTATGCAAGAAAGAATGAATCCCTCTCTTGAGTTGTACTTTAGCAGGGATTGATTCCTAGATCTACTCAAATATCTAAATACATTTGTTAAAGATGTCAGGCACAACTATCCTACCATCACTCAAAACCGCTAAAGAGACTGGGGTACGCAAACATTCCTTCCCTTTTATTTCAAATTTGGTTCTTAACTTTCCACTTGGAATAACAAGTAGTTGTACTCTTTGATTCAGTTTATCATAGACCTTCAGCTGTCCCACCTTGTCAATTGACAAGCCACGCAGGTCATTGAACTGCTTGGATGCTATTCCTTAACTGCCAAACCTATTGAGAAATGTCCCCTACATGCAATGGTCATCCCTGTCTGACATATGCAACAACAAGTCATGATTTTAAGAGCAATCATCTGCAAAACCCTTTTGTGGGTAGGTGCAGCAATTTTTGGAAGAGTAACAAACAATTATCTGATGTAAATCCAAATCAACAAGCTAAGGAAATCGATTGATACTAGGCTACAGCCAGCAGAGGGAAGGGGGGGGGGTGGGGTGGGAATGTCAAATCTACTCATAGATATGAACACAATGGTGCAGGGAGTCTGACACGACTATCCTTCCATTGCTCAGAACAGCCATGAAGACTGGGGTACCCAAGCCTCCAATACCCTCTCCTTTTATATCAAACTTAGTCTGAAACTTTCCACTCGAAATATCAAGAAGCTGAATTCTGTGATTCAATTTATCACAGATCATCAGTCGTCCTGCCTTGTCAACTGATAAGCAACATGGGTTATTGAACTGTTTGTTTCCCACCCCTTTACTGCCATAACTGTTCAGTAACCTCCCTTTCATATCAAACGTTTTGATACAATGGTCACCCTTGTCTGACACAAAAAAATGGTCCCTGTATTGAATACAATGACTGGGAGAGAAGAGCTGACCCTCACCAATGGTACGCAGAAGTTGTCCACCAGGAGAAAATATCTTAACTGATTTTTCACGGCAATCAGGAACAATGATGTTGCCATCATTGTCTACAGATATACCGCAAGACTCTGGTAAACAGTGATCAAGACTTGTGCTGTTAACAATCTGACTCTTAAACTCACCCTCCCCACTGAAAAATTGAATTCGCTGGTTACCACTGTCCCCTACAACAATGTTGCCATTTGCATCAAAGGCTATCCCAGAGGGCGTGTGAAATTCCCCCTGTTTATCACCCTCTGCACCAAAAGACCTTAAGTAAGTTCCATCACTACTGAATACCTGAACCCTGTGGTTATCAGAATCAGACACTGCAATTTCATCGCGTTCATTTACTGCCACCCCATATGGCCCATTAAGCATTCCTTCTGAGGAACCTTGTTGTCCAAAAGACATGACGGGACTGAACTTTCTTGTATCAACACTGACGGCAAAGGGACTTCCATGAACATGCTCTCCGTTTATTTGTATCTTGAGTGATTCAAGTGGCTTAAAGCCATGCCGCTTGAATTCAGGAAAATAACTGATT